ATATATATATATATATATATATATATATATATATATATATATATATATATATATATACACATATACATATATACACATACACATCTATATATATACCAAACAAATATATATTTATATATACATATACATACAGTTGAAGTCATAATTATTAGCCCCCCTGAATTATTAGCGCCCCTGTTTTTTTTTTTCCCCAATTTCTGTTTAATGGAGGGAAGATTGTTTCAGCACATTTGTAATCATAATAGTTTTAAAAACTTATTTCTAAAAACTGATTTATTTTATCTTTGTCATGATGACAGTAAATAATATTTTACTTGATATTTTTCAAGACACTTCTACAGCTTAAAGTGACATTTAAAGGCCTGACTAGGTTAATAAGGTAACTAGGCAGGTTAGGGTAATTAGGCAAGTTATTGTATAATGATGGTTTGTTCTGTAGACTAACGAAAAAAAAAATTGGCCTAAAGGGGCTAATAATTTTGTCACAAAAATGTTTTTAAATAAATTAATAACTGCTTTTATTCTAGCCTAAATAAAACAAATAAGACATTTCCAGAAGAAAAAATATTGTCAGACATACATTGAAAATTTCCTCGCTCTGTTCAACATAATTTGGGAAATATTTAAAAAAGAAAAAAAAAATCAAAAGGGGGCTAATAATTCTGACTTTCTGAATAATTCTGACAGAAATTATTTTATTATCCTATCTATATGGCAAAGTAAACAATTGGGCTAACCAAAACTGTATTTATTTGCAAATAATTCTAGCAAGGTTTTACAGTTAATCATATATATACTGCTTTTTTATATTCTAAAATGTCATTTCAGCATTACTCCAGTGAAATACTCCATCCTAATGAAATCATTTGATGTTCGAGAGGCATTTCTGATTATTATCAATATAGTAAACAGCTATTTTGCATCATAATATGTAGAAATCATACAATTTTTTTAAAAAGAACTGCACTTATTAAAACAGAAACCTCTGGAATAAATGCCTTTACTGTCACTTTTGAAGAATTTATTGCGCCATGATCAAAGTATTAATTTCTTTACATAATAATAATAATAATAATAATAATAGTAATAATAAAGTTAGTCTGTCAATCAAATCCCCAAAGCTGTGATGAATGCTTGTTATTTCAGTTATTATTATTCAATTCTTTCCCTCTTGTGACTTTTAACATTATTTATTTACAGATTTTTCTATTCCTCAATTTCAGCAGTCACTGCACAAACTCTGCTGTAAGCTGACATACTTCTCCATATCTGTGTGTGTTACCTGCTGGTCGTGGTCCTCTCTTCCTCCTGAATGCAGCTCCAGACTGAAGAGCCTCCAACAAACCATCCATGATTCCAGTCTCATCTCCATCTGAAACACACAAACACACAATTAACATCAATAATACACACTCATCATCACTAAACCTCATATGAAGTATTACCAACACACACACAGAGAGAAACTGTGACATCAGATGAGAGCGGTGCAAAGGATCATGGGAATGTAAACATCTTCACAGACACAAGTTACAGTAGACAGCGCCCTCTATCTAACACACGCACACTGATGACATCATCAATACACAGAAGATGCTTTAACCTACATAATCTATACTGTAGCGCATACACACACACACACACACACACACACACACACACACACACACACACACACACACACACACACACACACACACACTAGTGACATCATCAACACAGAAGATGCTTTAACCTACATAATCTGTACTGTAGCGCATACACACACACACACACACACACACACACACACACACACACACACACACACACACACACACACACACACACACACACACACACACACACACACTAGTGACATCATCAACACACAGAAGATGCTTTAACCTACATAATGTGCACTGTAGCGCACACACACACACATACACACACACTAGTGACATCATCAACACAGAAGATGCTTTAACCTACATAATCTGCACTGTAGCGCATACACACACACACACACACACACACACACACACACACTAGTGACATCATCAACACAGAAGATGCTTTAACCAACATAATCTGTACTGTAGCGCATACACACACACACACACACATACACACACACACACACACACACACACACACACTAGTGACATCATCAACACACAGAAGATGCTTTAACCTACATAATCTGCACTGTAGCGCACACACACACACACACATACACACACACACACACACACACACGTGACATCATCAACACACAGAAGATACTTTAACCAACACAATCTGCACTGTAGATCACGCACACACATAGCAGGAGGATTGTCTGACCAGAATTGTTTTTTCAGTGTGAACTAGTTTGTTGTGTTCTTATATATGATTTGTTTTACACACTGGATAAATATAAGAAATATATAACTTTAACTCAGTATTTTAGTTTTGCTTTACCCCAGAATACAAACAGAAACCTTTTTACATCAAGATAGATTTAATTGAAAAGCACCAGAGCTA